TCTGAAGTGAGGAACAAGACAAAGTTGTCCATTCTTTCTATTCTCATTCAATATGTTTGAATTATTAGCCAGATCAATAATGCAAGTGAAAAAAATAATAAGGATACACACAAGAAAGGAAGAAATCAACGTTTTCCTATTTGAAGATGACATCACTAAAAGACCCTAAAGAATCCATCAAAATCCTCTTAGAAATAAGTAGTGTTCTATAAATCAAGGCCAAATACACGGAGAGAAACCTAATCCCATTCACAAAATAATGAAAATTCAAAACTAAATACCAACAAGTAAACTAAATACCAACAAGATTTAGAGGTAAAAGACCTCTAGCATGAATACTATGAAAACAATTAAGAAAGAAAATGAAGATGATGAAGGATTCCAGTGGCTCATGCCTGTAATTCTATCTATTCAGGAGGGTGAGAACCAGAAGATCACAGTTCAAAGCCAGCCTGGGTAGAGAAGTTTATGAGACTCCATCTCCAAAATGACAGAAAAATGGCAAGCTGAAATCATGCGCAGCTGGCAGAGAATCAGTCAAGTAAACAAGCCAAGCAAATGTTAGGCCTTCATTTCAAATCCTAGTATTGAGAGAAAAAAACAAAAAGAAAACGATGAAGATACTAGAAGATGAACAGCTTTCCCCATTCATGGATTGGCAGAATACTGGGAAAAGTTATGCTCCCAAAAGCAATCTATATACTCAATGTAATTCCTACCAAAATTTGAGTTATTCTTCACAGAAGTAGAAAAACCAATCTTAAAATCACAAGAAAGCATAAAAGCCCCTAAATAGCCAGACCCAAAAAAAAAGATCCTGAATAAAAAGAATAATTCTGGAGGTTTAACAACACCTGATCTCAAATTATGTCACAAAGCTATAATAACAAAAACCCCAAGCATGTTACTGGAACAAAAAGATACACTGAAATGAATGGAATTAGAAGACTCACAAATAAGCCCACACAACTACAGTTGTCTAATATTTACCAAAGGTACCCAAAACACATTTTAAGACAGCCTCTTCAACAAATGGTGCCAGGAAAATCTAAATATCTGTGTGAAAATGACTAAAATTAGACATGTATTTCTCACTCTGCACAAAAATAAATTCAAAGTAGATGATTAGACTTAAGGTAATACCTGAAACTTTGAAACTACTACATAGAAAACAAGAAAAACACATGAAGATATAGGCCTAGATAAGGACCTTATGAATAGGATTCCAATAGCTCAGGAAATAAGAGCAAGAATTGACATATGAGATTGCATCAAGTTAAAAATCTAAGGAGTCCTTAATTCCCATTTCTTACACAAAAAGAAGGAAATGTTTCTCTTTTTCTATTTCTCACTACATTAACCCTGTTATTATTGAAATAAATCTTTGCTAAAACCTTCAAAAAATAAAAATCTGACAAGGGATTAGTATACAGAACATATAAAGAACTCAAAAAAAATGAACTAAAAACAATTCTGTCAACAAATAGGCGAATGAACAGTTCTCAGCCAAAGTTCAAATGGCTAACAAATATACAAAGAAATGTCCATCATTCTCTCTCATAAATTAAATGCAAATCAAAATTACATTGAGCTGGATGCTGGTGGTTTACTCTTATAATCCTAGCTATTTAGGAGGCTGAGACCTGGAGGATCATGGTTTGAAGTCAGACCAGGTAGAAAGTCTATGAAACTCTGTCTCCAATTAACCAGGCAAGATGCCAGACTAGAGATATGGTTCAGCGGTAGAACACTAGCTGTGTGAGCAAGAAAACCAAGTGAAAGCCTGAGGGTCTGAGTTCAAGCTCCAATATTGGCAAAACAGAAATAAGAAAAAAAATTAAGATTCTATTTTATCCTTGCGGGGCACTAGTGGCTCACATCTGTAATCCTAGTTAATCAGGAGCCTGAGTCTGAAGCTCTTGCTTTGAAGCTAGCCCAGGCAGGAAAGTCAGCAACTCTCTTATCTCTAATTAAGTACCAAAAAGTCAAAAGTAGAGCTGTGGTTCAAATGGTAGAGCACTATCCTTGAGCAAAAAAAGCTCAATTACAGCGCCGAGGTCCTCAGTTCAAGTCCTAGTACTCACCACACACACATACACACTCACACACACACACACACACACACACACATACACTATCTCACCCAAATCAAAATGACTATCTTCAAGAAAATAAATATTGGTAGGGAGTGAGTCATATGTATGGAAAGTACCCATTATATACTGTGTGTGGGAATGTAAATTAGTGCAATGAACCACTGTGGAACTCCTTAAATAACTCAGTATGGAACTACTATATGATCCTGCCACACATGATCCGGCCATGCACTATGATCCTGGACATATATACAAAGAAATGTGAGCATACAATAGAGACACCTGAAACGTGTGTGTGTGTGTGTGTGTGTGTGTGTGTGTGTGCACGTATGTGTGTGTGTACACTGTAGCTCTATTCACGATAGCCAAGCAATAGAATGAGTTCCCTTAAACTGCTGAATGGATAAAGCATATATATTATGCGTGCATACACACACACACACACACACACACACACACACACACACACACACACACACACACACAATGAGTTATTATTTGGCCATAAAGAAAGAATTTACTTGCAAGAAAATGGATGTAACTAGAAATCCTCATTTTAAGGAAAATAAGTAATACTTAGGCAAAATTGCATTTTTTATTTCAAATGTGGAATTTCTATATAAAAAAAACAAAAGAAATGACATTCAGACTGCCCTTCTGCCCAGTGTGGATCTCTTTTGTTAGCTCTGGCTCCTGGGCCTGCTCTTCACATGCTCAGTGCTGAGGCCCTTCCTCTCACTCTGCTTCATGCCTCTCCAAGTCTCTGCTCACTGAGAACTGAACACATTCTCAATCACTAACTTTGTAGAGCGGCTCCTCTCCAGTTTATTCTAACAAATAAAGTTCACTGCCATTACTTCTGGTTCCGTACCTTTAATGCACCACCCTGTCCCTCTCCACAGTACACACCCAGTGAGTATTCTAATCTGCCATGTACTACCAAGCCAGCAGTAAACTTCACTTATCACAGAGCTTTATCCCTGATCATTTTGGTATCATGGTGGGACATATACCTGAGAGAAACTACTTAAAAAGAGGGAAAATTTATTTGGGCTTAAGCCTTTAGAGGCTTTGGCCTGCAGTTGCGTGGCTGTGGTGAGACAGAGCATCACAATGGGGGCGCAGGGGAGAGCCAATCTGCTCACTTCATGGTAGCAGTTAACTGAGGGACAGGCAGGGGCCAGGGGACAAGGTGTACTTCTCCAGGGCACCACACAGTGACCCAACTCCCAAACAAGGCCCCATGCCCTAATAACACATCAAGGAACTAATCCATTGATTTGTCTGAACCCTCACTATCCAGTTACTCCCCCAAACCCATCAGCTGATAAGCAGACTCCAAGCACATGATGAGCCTTGGGGGTTGTCTCAGATTTAAATCCTAACAAGCATGTTTTGGTGCTGAGGCTTGAAGCTGTGGCTTCATGCATGCCAAGATGCACTCTGCCAGTAGTTATAGGTTTACTATAATCCTTCCTTCCATCCTTCTTTCCTTCCTTCCTTCCTTCTTCTTATCTCTTTATTTTCTTTCTCTCTCCTTCCCTCCCTCCCTCCCTCTCTCCCCTTCCCTCCCCGCCTGCCTCTCTCATTCTTTCTTTTCTTCTTTCTTTCTTTCTTTCCTTCCTTCCTTCCTTCCTTCCTTCCTTCCTTCCTTCCTTCCTTCCTTCCTTCCTTCCTTCCTTCCTTTCTTTCTTTCTTTCTTCTTTCTCTCTCTCCCTCCCTCCCTCTCTCTCTCCCCCACCCCCCCCTTCTCTTTCTCCTTCCTTCCTGATCCTGGGGCTTGAACTCAGGGCCTGGGCACTGTCCTTGAGTTTTTTTTTTTCTTGAAGCTAGTATTCTACCACGTGAGCCACAGCTCTACTTCTGAAATTTTCTGAATAGTTAGTTTGAGATAAGAGTCTCACAGACTTTACTGCCCAAGATCTCAGCCTCCTGAGTAGCTACAATTACAGGCATGAGCAACCAGCAGCTAACTCGTGTTTCTTTTTTATCTCCCCTCCCTGGGATCATGCTATCTTTTTATAACAATAACCAATACTATTAAAAGATTCATGCTGCATGAAAATGGAGCCTTTGTAGCACCAGGAGCTTTGTAACTGGCTATAAAAGGTCAGTAAATATTTAATGACTTAAAGTGAAGAGATAAAGACTTATTTGTAAGTCGGGATGCACAGAAACTTAAGGCTTACTTTGTCCAATTCCCTCACTTTTCTATTGCCTAGCTAAATATCTGTAGGATACCCCCTCTCCACCCCGCCCAGTTTTGGAATGTTACAGATTCTCTTTTACAAAGAACCATAGAGATTTGTTCATCTTTAAAGCAAGAGAGTTAAATTTGGAAAAAAAGAGACCAACTTTAGGTTTAACCTTTTCTACTATGTCTCAATAATATAGTAACACTATTTTCATGACTCTATAACCTAAAAGAATCTTCAGAGTTTCAAAAAAGTAAGAGAAATCCTTGTTATGAAAAATTCTACTATGGGATGGGAAGGTGGCCCATGAATGCCTTGCATGCATGAGGCCCTGGGTTCGATTCCTCAGTACCACATAAGCAGAAAAAAAGCTGGAAGTGGCACTGTGGCTCTAGTGGTAGAGTGCTAGCCTTGAGCTGAAGAGCTGAGGGACAGCGCCCAGACCCAGAGTTCAAGCCCCATGACCAACTGGAAAAAAAATTCCACTACATAAAGAAACTTTAGAAATTATTCTAAATATTAATCATATGAGGGATAATTTCATTATTATAAATCAGGGAAAGAATGGAAAGAAATGTATGAAATTTAATCAGTCTTATTAGTACGTTAAGATTATTTTGACAACACAAGATAATCATAAACATTTATGAAACATATCATATGATATTCTCCTTTTCTAAGAGAGGCATGAAAATGAAAACCTCTTTACCTTAACGATTCAGATAATGGTGTTAAAGTGCCATCTCCCCTATCTACTACACGAAAGAAATTCAATTGATCTCCTTCTCGGTACACCAAGAATGTAACTTGTTTGTTGCAGGAAGTTTTCTCCCAGACTTCATCTCGACTGGAATCCATATACTCAGCCATCTCCCTAAGTGGATCTTCCATAGGAACTACAAATGGGAAATGATAAACAAGCTTTCAATATACACTAACTTTTCTGCATCTTGGTATACTAACAGGATATAATGCTCTGAGTTTGTTTAACATCTTGCACATATAGTACATATACCCTACATTGTATAATTATGAAGGAAAATACACCATTATGTTGCTATGCCCACAGACAAAGCTTTACCATGAGGCTTTTTTTCTTCTCAGTGCCAGTAGAGTCTTTATGTTTGTTGATTCTCTGGCATTATTATTTGTGGTTATTTTCACATGTTTTCTCTATTTTCAAATATTGGTGCAATGATCAAAATTGAAAAGCACATAGACCCCACTTGTTTTAGGTTGAAAATAAACACACAACATATACACACAAAATTGGGAGATATATAAAAGAAATCCGAAGCAAGTGGTAAAGCATTCTGTTTAGCATGCCCAAGGCTATGGATTTCATTCCCAGCAGGAAAAAAAAAGATGGGAAAGCAAGAGAGCCTTTTCATTTCTTCTGGTTTTATATAACAATTGCTTTGAGTCTAACATGTTTCAGAATGTGAGGAGGGCACTTAGTGCACAAACACTGAGAAGTGTGAGCAAGAGCCCTGTTTCCTGCAGGGCTCCTCCAGGAGCTGCAGCAATTCTGGTCAGTGTACATGTGCTATGTGATAGCACATACAAGAGAACACGACTTTCAGAGAACCCCACAACAGGGAAGTTTTCTCTAGTGTATGCAAAATAGATCAATAGCTCTCATAAAACCCTTTTGAAGTGTATCAGAAAAAAGATGGAACTGAGCCTATTTTCTCATGAGAACTATGAGGCCTTGGGTTATAATTTGCATGAGGGAAGCAAGTGTGCAGTGGAGACAGCAGTTAACCCTCCGTTTTCTGGTCCGTGAAGGCTCACACAAATCTGAAGACCTTCCCAAGAATGAGGTCTCCAGAGCAGGATGCTCTGAGTTCATGTGACATACCTGAACAAAGGCCAATGAAAACAACACGGTCCTCTTACTGTGCTGCCCAAGCCACCTTTTCTAGGATATTCTAATATCCTACTTTCATACACATTATCATCCCATTTACTTCCTGCATAACATTTAGAACCGCAATTATTATAACCATAATCATCAATTATTTTTTCACATTTATTAGAGGCAGTGTCATAAAATGGGGCCACCGTCTTCCACCCTGTACATAGTAGACAAATTCAACATCCAGAAGATGTTCACTGTGCATTTGTTGAATGAATGAATGAACTACCCACATTATTAGAAGAGTTTCAAGGACAGGAAAATATCCAAAAAAGCCAAATGTATCACAAATCAAGTAAATAGGCAATTTTGGAATTTTCTACTTCAATTATTTTAGGTATTGAAGACTCAGCAAAATTTTCAAAAATGATATAAAGCTGGATACCAGTGGGTCATGCCTATAATCCTAGCTGATCAAGATCTCAATCTGAAGACTGTAGTTCAAAGTCAGCCCAGGCAGACAAATCCTAGAGATTCTTATGTCCAATTAATCAGGAAAAAATCAGAAGTGGCTCGAATGGTAGAGTGACAACTATGAGCAAAAAAGCTGAGCAAGAACATGAAGCCCAGAGTTCAAACCACAGTACTGGAGGAAAAAACAAAAAGATGAGAACCCAAATACAATAACAATTTTTATACCGTGTCACTCCATTTTTCTTCCATATACTGATGATGTTTATTTTTAATTCTTATTGGACTCAGTATGGAAACATGGTATTTTTCTGGAATGTATTTTAGAATTATGCCTTTATATATTTGAAGTTTAAAGAACAATGCCTAAAAAGAAAAGAAATAACCAATGCTTTAAGAGGTTAGAGGTGTGGCTCAGGTGGTAGAGTATTAGCCAAGCCAGCGAAAGTGGTAGATCGTCCTGGTCTCAAACAAAGAAAAAAGACAAAAAACAAACAATGCCTACAACAATCAAAGGCTTAACCACCAAAAGGGAGCTTGACTATAACCACAGGCTATAATAAACACTGACTTGAACATTACTTTGTCAATTTGTTGTCAAACTTCTTGAAAAATATAATTGTTCTGCTTTAATATATGCCTACCTTTTCTGGTATTTATAGGTCCACCACGCATAGCCAAAACCAGCTTCAAGGTACAACCTTCGGAAATGCTGTGCACAATTAATACAAAAACTATTATCATCACAATGTATTCAGCATTAAAGGAAACACTACCTGCTGGTTTATTAGGCATAGCACCCATTCTCTAAAATATAAAAAGATACAGAAATATGAAGAAACATGAGATGCTAATGCATTTACTTGTATACATAATTAAAAGGTTAAGAAGTTCTCATAAAGTATAACTATTATGTGAAATCTCAGCCAAAGGTACTGGCAAGGACCTCTGTGATTGTGTGGCTGAGCCTCTTCATTCCACATAGAAGGAAAAGGAGACCTAGGAAAGAGAAGAGGCTTGTCCAACATCCAGAGTTTTAGAAACAGGAGATGTGTTCAATATAATAATAATAATAATAATAATAGAAATCAACAAATCTAACAAGTCTCCTGACTCCCATTGCTTTCTCTCTATTCCACATCACTTCTCACTCTTCTGCTCTTTTTTCTTCAGTTTAATGAATTTTGTGAGGGGAAAGAGAAAGATCAGAGGTAGAAAGTATTTTTTTGTAATCAATGGTGCATGCAGTATCTCTTACTAACAGGAGATTTTAATACATGTTGGTGGAGGGCTGTTCTCTCATATCTAAAATGAAAATAAAAGGAACATAGTAGACCAATATTCAAAGACAGAAGCAAAAAAGGCAAGACATTAATAGGAAGACATAAAAAGGCAGAGCAAAAACCATTTTGTACACGCACAAAAAATGAAAAGGTAAAATATAATTATCAAAGGACAAAGATCACAGGAAGATGGGGTGCCGGGACAACACATCTACAGTTCAGAATTTGTAATGAAATCTAGGACCAGAGGTATTTAGGAGGCATGTTCTAAGGATATGGAGTTCATGTAGTAACTAATATGAGGTTACACTCACTTGTAATCATTCAAGCAATACTCATCTTCAAGTTCCATGTTATTCCAAATTAAGTGCTGCTGACAGATGGGAATACCTTAGGGGAAGGTAATAAAAATGTTAAAAAAAATTCAATTAGCATCTCCAACATGATACAAAGCTTATTTCATTAAATAACTAAGTACATGTTTGAATTAAACACACTTCTAAAATGAATGCTATGTGCTAAAATTTACAGAATCATAGAAATTTTGTTCATTTGCTTTTTAAGAGTATGTTTCAGTAACTCCAACCCTAAAAAATGAATAATTTGGGTAAAAAAACTGTAAACTTATTAAAAACAAAACAGTCCTGAAGAGTTTGAGATGCAAGGTCTAGAAGACAGTGTTGTATTTAGTTTGCATTTAGTTATCAGTGTTGAAACTATATTATGGCTAATTTTCAATGCTAGAAATACCTGTCTAGAAGCTATGCCTTCAAATTTTGTGTTTTAAGAAATACAAACTCAGATTCTAGATTTTTAACACAGTAATTTTTTAATCAATTGCACTTTTGAAACTCCTATCCTTTTGGGGTTTTATTAGTCAGGAAGTGATCATTATTTATTAGGAAATCGAATGGATATAGACTTATGAATAACCTTTTCAAATGTCTCCATACTGCCTTCTCTGTTTTTCTTTATAACACTATAAGTAAGCAATCAGAGTACCAATAGTATGTATTACCTTTTTACAACTATAAGCACTGCTATATGCACTTGGCTTATGTTACAATTTTACAGTTTAACTTCAATAACTTGTGAGGTGAACATAAACAGAATCCTCATTTCACAGGAGTGACACCAGAGAAATTACATAACAGAGTCTATGTGGTGGGTTAGAGGAGTGATTACCTCCCCTGCCCGCCACCCCCTGCCCCCCAAAAAAACCTATTTGGTGAACCATATCTGGGAATCACTCTCCATAAGGCAAAAGCAGCTGTCTGAAGGTTGTATTTTACTAGCGCCAGCTGATAGTTAAAGATCATCATGGACTGCCAAAGGATTTGAAGGCTGAGCACAGACAGACAGACAGACAGACACACACACACACACACACACATACACACACAGCACACAATTTCCCAAGTGGAATAGTCTACTTTTTTTTGCTTCATTAAAAACAATGTAAGGGGCTGGGAAGGTGGCTCAGTGGTATAGTGCTTGCCTCACATGCATGAGGCTCTGGGTTCGATTCCTCAGCATCACATTAAATAGAAAAAAAGCTGGAAGTGGCGCTATGATTCAAGTGGTAGGGCACTAGCCTTGACCTGAAGAGCTGAGGGACAGTGCCCAGACCCAGAGTTCAGCCCCTACGATCGACAAAAAGCAAAAACAAACAAACAAACAGCAAAGCAATGTAAGCTGGGCACCTGTGGCTCACTCCTGTAATCCTAGCTACTCAGGAGGCTGAGATTGAGGATCGAGGTTCAAAGCCAGCCCAGGGCAGGGACGTCTGAGAGACTCTATGTCCAATAAACCACCAAAAAACCGGAAGAGGCGCTATGGCTCAAGTGGTAGAGCGCTCCCTTTGAGCTAAAGAGCTCGGGGACAGCGTCCAGACCCAGAGTTCAAGCCCCACGACTGACTCCCCTGCTGTCCCTCAGCTCTTCAGCTCAAGGCGAGCGCTCTACCACTTGAGCCACGGCGCCACTTCCGGTTTCTAGTAGTTTATTGGAGATAAGAGTCTCATGGTCTTTCCTGCCCGGGCTGGCTTTGAACCTTGATCCTCAGATCTCAGCCTCCAGAGTAGCTAGGATTACAGGCGTGAGCCACCCGCGCCCAGCTGTAAAGTGTTTTTATATTAAAAAACTAAATTCATCAAGGTCATGTTTTCAAACTTACAGGACTTCATTAGCATAAGTAGATAAAGCAATATAGTTAAATAACTGTGTTTACAGTTAGTAAACACTGCAAAGTATTTGTAATGGAGACTTTAGAGATGTACTGAAGAGTAAGAACACTACTCAGAACCAGCTTCTGTTAATCACTTTTAATGGGCTTGGCCATCATTTAACAAGCTTAAAAACACAAAACATTGGCAGACAACACAAAACAGCATGGCCTCGTGGGGATCCTCGGCCTCCATAAGGGATCCTCAGCCTCCATAGGAATTGTTGGTCTCCGTGGGGATCATCGGCCTCTGTGGGGATCCTCATGCTCTGTGGGGATGGTCGGCCTCTGTGGAGATGGTCTGTGGGGATCCTCAGCCTCTGTGGGGATCGTTGGCGTCTGTGGGGATCATTGGCCTCCGTGGGGATCGTCTGTGGGGATGGTCTTGGGGATTTTGTCAGTCTCTGTGGGTATCACTGGCCTCTGCAGGGATCATTGGCCTCTGTGGGGATCATTGGCCTCTGTGGGGATCATTGGCCTCTGTGGGGATTGTTGGCCTCCGTGGGGATGGTCTGTGGGGATGGTCTTGGGGATTGTTGGTCTCTGTGGGGATCACTGGCCTCTGTGGGGATCGTTGACCTCTGTGGGTATGGTGGCCTCCGCGGGGATCGTCTGTGGGCATGGTCTTGGGGGTTGTCGGTCTCTGTGGGGATCACTGGCCTCTGTGGGGATCGTTGACCTCCGTGGGGATCGTCGACCTCCGTGGGGATTGTTGGCCTCCGTGGGATCGTCTGCCTCCGTGGGGATCCGCATGCTCTGTGGGGACCATCACCCTCTGTGAGGGTTCCTTGTACCACTAGCACTTAAGATCATCAAATATATAAAACTCTGCCTTCAGATAGGTTGCTGGATTTCTAGTTATTAAACATGGAACCCTTACTAAAATTAACCTTTGCCTTTAAATCTCAACTATCCTCTTGCCCTACTAAAGCCAGATACATTAACTTCCAGGACAAGCATTTCCCTAAAAACCAGACTACAGGTATAAAAGATGTCTTCCTCTCCAGAGATGATGATAATTCCTTTGACAAAATTCAATATTTATCGATATTAAAAAAACAACAAACAACAATCCATGCTGGGTGCCAGTGGCTCATGCCTGTAATCCTAGCTACTCAGGAGGCTGAGCTCTGAGGATCATAGTTCAAAGCCAGCCCCAACAGGCATCCATGAGACTCTTATCTCCAACTAAACACCAAAAAGGCTGGAAGTAGAGGGGTGGCTCAAGTGGTAGAGTGCTAGAGGAAAAAAAGTAAAGGACAGTGCCCAGGCTCTGAGTTCAAGCCCCAGTACCAGCACTAGCCAATCAAAAATTGTAGAATGAATTTTAGGGTGAATAGTTATGTGGGAGCCCAATAGGAAATAAGCATAAACAAACAATTCACCATAAAAGAAAAGTGGTTCTTAAAAATACAAATAAAATGTATCAATTTCACCCATAATTGCACAAGTCTAAATTAGAGCACATAATATTGGTAAAAATTTAGAATTATGACCATATTTGCTAAGGGCAGTGATATGTGTAAACAATATTTTCATGTATTGTTGTAAGAACACTGCAGAACCACTATAGAGAGAAATTTAACAATACCTAACAAAATTACATATGCATTCTCTTTCTGACCCAGCAGTCCCAATTTTAGCAATCAACCCTGAAGGTAAGTCTACAGTGTAAGACACTAGAAACAAACTAATGGTATACATAGGTAAACAGTGTAATAAACGATATATTCACACAAGAGTCTATATAGACATAAAGGAAAAATGCTATGATTAAAAAAAGTGAGCAGGGCATGGTTATGGATGTCTTTAATGGTCAGTTCCTGGGAGGCTGAGCAGGAGAATCACAGGTTGGAAGTTGGCTTGGACAGCATAGTGGGACTCTGTCTCAAAAATAAAAATTTTTAAAGTGGAGGGCTGGCAAAATTGTCCAGTGGTAGAGCATTTGCCTGGGCTCAATCCATAGAATTGCAGGGGGGAGGAAAAAGTCAATCTCTACGAACCATTTTGGGACACATTATTAAATGTAAAAACAAATCACAAAAGACTAGCTATAGTATAACATTACTATTCATGTTAGAAAGATGATAAAATACATAAGTAACTATCTACCTACCTGGGCAAAATAAGAACTGGGATAAACTGGAAACTAAGGAGATTGGTTATCCATAGTGGATGAGTAGGATGGCATAGAAAGAATGTGGGAAAGGGAGGGCACGAGTAGTAAGGATGAAAGATAGCTGCACTTCTGAAGTGAGTTTTATGTAGCTTTAGGCCTCAGAACCACACTCAGTGATGTTTCACTTCAGCTCCTACCCCAAATAGATAATTAAAGAGGGCATTAAATAAATAGATAAATAAAAAATAGAGCATATCTCAAATGAAACATAAACAATACTAGATGAATATAACTATCACAAAAGAAGGATAGGGAACAGAAAAATTAACCTAATCTCAGCCTAAGTGTAATATTGTAGGCCGAGGGCAAAAAGAGCTATATGCAAATACACTGTGAGCAAATTTGTTTCATACAGGGATTTGGGTTAGCAATTCTCAATTAGTTTATGTACAAGTTTGAGCAAATAAATAGATCTGTTATGAGCCAATTTTCTTTCAGAAAAGGAGGTTAAAATATAGAAAAAGCTAAAATTTGATTTGATATTGGAGGGATCAGTATTAATTCATGATTGTTAATATACATTTGCACAGATGCAAAAGTGTGTGTTTTAATAAATATGTGTATTTCCTAAACATTGAAAGTCTAGAAGCAAAGCTGTCCAATAGCCATGAAAACATTTAGCACCTAGATCTGTTTCTACATAGCATTCCAATTAAAGTAAGCTTACAGAAGTAGCTGAGGGCAGGAATACGGGAAGAACCTGCAATACATATGAAGAATATATGAAGAACCTGCAATGTCTTGGGGTATCAAGACAAGGGGGTAGGGTATCAAGACAAGGATTGAGTAATGACAAAATGGCACATAGGCCAACTAGAAGGAAATCGTGTGAGTCAAATCTAAGGTCTCAGCAGTAAGTAACAATTAGAAATGCATATTCTTGAGTTCAGGCTGACAGAAATAAGTGGATGAATAAACAGATACATGAGGGATAAAAGAGAGCATTTTCTTAAAAGTAGAATGCCATTTTAAAATGCAGAGGAAACAA